CAAACACACAAAACTTGGTTAATTGTAAACTAATTATAAGAACTTTCCAAATTAAATTGTTAACAGATAGGTAGGTTACCTGAAGCAAAAATAACGGACCGCTGATCTCACGAGAACCCCGACGGGATGCTCTACACAGATGGCGATACAACATCGCCAGACAAGCACTGCCCCAGCTGTAGCCACGGATATGCTCCCAGTCGTGGTCTAATAGCTGCAGGTAAATGATCTGTAAATGGCTGCCATTCTTGCCACCGAACAACACACCCGAGATGAGCAGAAAAAGGTACGCTCGAGCTTGTCTCTCAACAGTGGCCTCATCAGCACATCTGGCAACACACGAAAAGTGTCGCGTATCCAGCCGGTCCTCAATCCGCCGCCCTGATATCGTCCGGACCTGGCTGAACCCTGAGAACCTGAGCAACATAACCGGGGGGATCGGCCAACGCAGATCCAGACACCAGACTCCCATGAATGGGAAGCCGTGTGAGTATCGCCACGTCTCGCAACGTCACGGTCGCCTCCCCAACAGGTAGATGGAAGGAGTGCGTCTCCTGTCTCCATCTCTCCACAAGCGCAGTAACAAGCGCTGGGTCGACATCTCTGAACGCCATCCGATGTATACCCATGAAGACAGTGTATTCCACGAAAGGCAGAATGCGGGGATCGATAACCCAATCCCCAAGGAACGCGACAGTGTAGTGCCTGCATGTCAGTATGCCCGCCGGATCAACCGACTGAGTCCAAATGTCAACGCTACGATGTGTGTTCTGTAGTGTAAGGACAGAAGGGTCGGTGGGTCCGGGTGTGCTATCTCGGGTGTCCATGGTATCTGTTCATTAACAGCGTTATAATCCAACAATTAAAAAGTAACAATTACAGACAATCGATAACAAAATACAAAATTTCAAATCTCATACTTCAATCTAAAAATACTCCAACTGTTACAATCATTTGAAATGCAGAAATACAATCAACGTACTATTCTACTACATCATTCTAGATAAAAAAAAAACTTAGTGCCCGGTCGATCTAGATGGACACGATCTCTTGTTGTGACCCTGCTGGTGACAGAGGCTGCATTTGCTTGCGGGACGGTTGGTCTCATCCATTTTATTGCGTATGCGCCTTGACTTAGGGCGACCTGCTCCTCGTACCATGCTGTTGTCGGGAATGAGTTTAAGGCCTCTATACTCTCTCCATGTCGTCTCACAAGGGATAGGCCAGAATTGGGGAGCGTATGTGTTTGCGTAGGCCTCTGATTGCAGTACCCGGTGAATAACTTTGGAGTTGCATGGGAGAAGATATAAATGTGTTCGATGTCGAAGGCCCAGATTGGCCAAACATTGTCGTAGATGGTCCACCATATACAGGTGAAGCTATATGTGAACTCAACGGCATCTGGAACCGATCGTCATGAAGCAGTCTACTGAAGGACCCCATCCCATATCCAGTTGATGGAATGTCTTGTGAGGGCATTCGAAAGGACTCTGTGTATCCGGAAAAAAAGGTAGCTTGTTGATCTGGTTGAGTACTTTGTTGCGTACATGTAGACACTATTTCTACATATATCTCATGTGGATAACCCCTCATTAAAACAACGCTCCTCAAAGCTTTCAAATGTCTATCGTTAGAACAAGGTAACACTTGAACCGCATTATTAGTCTCAAACCTCATTTGAATGTTAAGTTGTACATTCATTGGGTTTAAGCCAATAATGCTATGAACCTCGTTCATCAGATCGTTGAAAGTCATGTCCGGTCCAAGTGGCAATGGTTCCATATTTCCACCACTATACTGGACATTCGGTCCATCAGACACAAATTCACCCCCCATCGGCATAACAAAGCTGCGTTTTGTGTAGCCATATTCTATACAACAACCAAAAACACATCTTAATACCAATCTCCACCAATTCGCACTATAACAACCAAGATATTCACACTATAAACATAATTAACCAACACTATTCCAATTCACATAACAACCAAAACAAAGTACACAACAAACATATTCACACTATGACAACCAACATATTCTACATAACATATTTTTCGTAATTAAACAACAATGTAGACTACTTTATCAAATTAAAACAAGAATTTCATCAACATTATCAACAATTTCATCGACATTTTCAACAATTTTATCAAACATTTCCACAATTTCATCAAAAACTTTCATACTAAACTAACATCAATTTAGGGCTTTTATACTAAACTATTATCAAATTACAACAAACTATCTTAGAATTATCAACATAATTATCAATTTACATCAAACTAACTTAGAATAATCAACAACATTATCAAATTAAAACAATGTTATATATAATTATCAAACTAACCTAGGTTTTTAGATTTTAAAAACAAATGAGTGAGAAGTACCAACAATGTGATTAAAAAGAAGAGGAGAGGCGTGGCGGCGGCGACAGCGACGGCGACGGCAGATTGGGTAGACAGTTGATGAAGAGTGAGAGAGTGAATTTGAGTTTTGAGGAAGAGTGAATGTGTCGCGTGTTCCTGGAACAATATACCAGTGAAAACCGCTGACTGAGGCAGCGTGTTTCTAGTATTAATGAAACGATGCCTCAGTCAGCGTTTTAAGGCCTATTATAGCCTTACACAAAAACGCTGACTGAGGCAGCGGTTTTGTGTATTTTCAGTTTTTTTATTTTTATTTTGTATTTCACAAAATACGTAATTCAAAAAAAAAATGAGGAAAAACGCTGACCAAGTCAGCGTTATACTTCAGAAGCTTAATTTCGTAAATAGTTTGGCCACGCGTCTATATTCGTAAATTGTTTACTAATAAGGCTTAGTTTCGTAAAAAATCCCATTTAAACCCCTACAATTCCAACTGACCCATTTGTGTGTCTTCAAGTGAACCCAGAATAGCTTGTTGCACTTCGAAATCATCACAATTTTTAGAAGTGACCTCTTCGCTGCACCGTCTCTTAGCCGGACCAGAATCCGAAGATGAAGTTGTTGGAGAGCGCTTCTTCCCTGACATTTTCAGCTTTGAAATCCTTACTTTCACACCCCAAACTCTAGCCATGTCAACATCAGTAATCGCTTTCGATTTGAATTCGAACTTATCATCTTTGTCACCTTTCTTGAATTCGGATTTGAAAAAGATATCACCTTTCTTGAAAATTTTATGGTGATTGATGATTGGATTTCTAATACAGAGTTACTTACAGCAAGCACAACTACAAAGGTCATTTCTGAAAAAAACAAGATCATATCCAAGAATTGAGAGGTTGAAATAATGACAGGCTAACAACTGAATGAGCGAATTATGAATATATATTTGAAAATGATGAGAAATCCTTGGTAAGCATTGTTCACATTTTCTTCAATATTTGCTCTACTCTGGACAAACCTGGGTAATTGATCCCCCGGCTACGCATTTTTCGTGCAGTTTGTTCTCAATGCTGAGACAGATAGTACATACGCAATAACAGATCCCGGATTCTACCTAGGGGTAGCACTATGCCTTAAATAACTTAAGAAATTGTAAATGACTAGAAACTCATAATAAACTATTTAGATTGTCGCAAACTAATTGGGTTAACTTTATTATATAATGCGACGTCTTTTCATATACCTATCAATATTTAATTTTATTAAGTGCGTGCCCAATTTTAACTATATTCATATAAAAATAAAAAGCTAATATTGGTGCTTTATCCATACAAGTAAACATAATTATCTGAATACTTGTTATAATCGTATTAATTAATGTATACTTTTCATCATATATGCCAATCATACTGAATTATTCAAAATGGTGGGAGTAATAGTTAACCATTTCTAAACATTTATTTACATTTTTTAAAATTTGTTTTACAAATAATTAATATTCTAGTTTTTAGTATACTACAATCATATTCAAATTAAAAGTACTCCAATCCATATGTTCCATGAATTATCGGTCAAAGTTTTATATGGTAAGAGTTGGATATAAGAAAAAAAAATTATCAACTATGCTTTTCTTTCTTTTCTTTTCTTTTTTATTTTTATTTTTATTTTTATTTTTATTTTTTATTTTATATATACATTTCATTGTAAATTTTCATAAATATTATTACTAATATATATAAAACTAAATAAATTATAATGGTCAAACACGAGCATTGGAAATCAAGCTATGCATGAAAATGGGAAGAACTTCTATTTAAAAATGTAGATTAAAGAGCTAGTTTTCTTTTTAAAGAGCTAGTTTTTAAAGAGGGAGTATTCTAGATTAAAGAGCTAGTTTTCTTTTTAAAAATGTAAAAATGATGAATACTACGTGTAAAAAAAAAAAAAAAAAAAAAAAAGCCTAAATTTGTTGCCAAGAGGAATCGATCACATCACACTTACCGCACCACCAGAGCAACGCTGATTACAATGAATAATTAATTATACAAGGTATAATATTTATATAAAAATATTTCTGCAGCATTTTTTAGTCTCTTTTTTTTTTTTTTTTTTTGGGTAGCATGTGCTACCCCTTGCTCCAACGTAGGTCCGCCACTGAACATACGCACCATGCTTCATAGTAGAAATAAAGGAGGAAACCAATTTCTGGGAGGAACTGGCTGCTTCCGTGCTTGGACAAGTTTGCACAATGAACATTGCTGATTCCGACTCTTTGCCTTGAACAGTGGCGATCATTGGGAGCAACCAGTGAGACACAATGATCATTTACAAGCCATAAAGCCTAGAAGGGATTCAAGGGAATCTCCTTTTGCCAATTGCAACCCTGCTTGGAAAAGTGAAAGAAAAAACTGGCTAGCACATATGATAATGATCATTGAACTACTCTGTATTTTTCAGGGTTAAGCAAATGGAGTAATTAGCAGAGTGACATTAATTGCTGAACATACAAATTATATTATTTTACAATTGCAACGCTAGCTGGATGTCTTCATATTATTCAGAAGACAGCTATATTATCTGAGGGTGAACTCTATGAGCTCTTAATACAAGTTTGAAGAGAACCAGAGCAGGAAAATGTAGAGACTTACACAGGCTCTGGAAATTTTGCTTCAGATGTGAATGAAGGCATGGCCAAATGCTTATGCTTCAGCCTCATTTGACCTTCACTGATACCATTATCAATGACACAGCCTAAGCGGGGACAAGTACTGTAGAAAAGAAATTTTGAGATCAGTTACACACTTACACTTTATACCAACTTATCAGATACATTAAAGTATTAAACTAAGAATTGTGCCTGTCAATGAATTCTACATGGAAACTCCAGCAGATCAATTCACAAGAGCTTGAAAGAGGACATCACAACTTCAGAACAAAACGCTCTTATTCAGTTTTTTTTTTTTTTTTTTTTTTTTTTTTTTTTTTTTTTTTTTTTTTTTTGGGAGTGCCTGAATGTGGTTAAAAAAAAATAGCAAAAAAGATGTATTGGGGGTTGACAAGATAAGCTTATAGACCGAGACAGTTCATCTCTCTCTTCATTATACTAGCCAGTTCACTCTTACAGGTTCACAGCATAATAATGCACTTCCCTTGTCAAATAATGGGCCACCAAGACCATATTATAACAATAAACCATGAGCTTCTCTAATCTATAATACTGTAGCAATATACCAAGATTAATCCAAACACAAAACATGCATGATACAGCAATGAGTTCAATTTTAGTCAAGATGATACAACTGAGACTACTATTACTCTGGTAAAAGGTATATTCTATAGATGAGGGGGATCCATTACCAATATCCATTAGCTCGGTATCCGACATAATTTCATATTAAAAACCATTCGATTTAATGGTTTACTACTTTACTTACAATCACCAAACAAACATTATAGGACAATGAAACTAGCTTATAAACAGCTATATACCCAATTAATAGGATCATGCACACACGAACGCACAACCCACACGCACACGCACACCCCCCACCCACACACCAACACACAACACATGCACCCCCCCCCCCCACACCCACACAACCCCCCACCCACCCACCAACACACGCACCCACCCACGCACCCGCCCACACGCAACATAGGTTATGGTCAAACAAAAGCAAAATTCTCCTCAGCATTTCAATAATCAATGGCTCTGTCTACAAAAGCAAAAATAGAAAATTTGTTCCTTAACTGAAGTATAAAACTTTTAAGGTTTATTCTATGCATTCCATCACCATCAATGACATTCAAGTTATCTTAAAAGCCTAGTTCATCTCATCTTTTATACACAAAAGAAACTAACAAATAACTTCATTTACTAAACCAATGCCACTAAAAGTTACTTTGTTATTACGTAACAATTTGAGAGAAGGGTAACAGAATTTGTATTTATATTAGGCATTTAATTTGAAATGTTCACACATATGTTCATGATAATGCATATCCATCAGCAAACACGTTATTTTTCTTCATTAGAAGTCTTATCACCCGATCATTACCACCACTTTAGGTATGAACAAGCGGTGACAAATATAAATTGATGAAAGTATACAAATGTCTGTAAGTGGAGATGACAAAGGGAGAGCTTGTACTTGGAAATGTTTGCTTGTATTAATTGGTTTGGCTTAAGTTACATCACCCAACTTTAGAGCACTAGGTTGGTGATGTAAGCTAAATTTGTCTATGTAAAAACATTTCCATACTTCTCTTTCACTCACTATCAAATTCTAGCATTATCAATCACATTTAACTCAAAATTACTTCTCCAAACACAAAAAGTTCACTCACGTCTAATACAGTATAAGTTTTAAGCATTCTGAATTCCATGAATCAAAACTGTAGTTCTATTGTGCAGAAGTCTTGCATAATTCAAAGCATGTCATTCTTCTTTTTAGAGAATTCTTAATACCATCTTGCTATCATACTGGAACCTATTGAAGCTTATGACAAAATAATACGACATGACATTAAAAAAAAGAATCAATAAATGTAAAACTAAAGAGCTAAAGGACGATTTAATACATACTGATATTACTCCTGAGAATAGTGAGAAACTCATAAATGAACATCCAAGCAATGCACAACAGAGGACCCTTTGGGAATAACAATGATCACATCCGACCACACAATCGACCCCCATAATTCCCCTAATTCATTCTTCCTCACCAAAATCTCAGCACAAAGCACCTCTATTTCCTGCCCACTCCAGCCCCCATTCCCATTCGCATTCTGGTTCGCTTTCCCTTCCCACACCACAAACAACCTCCCACCCACATTAGCCATAGTAGCACCACACAAGAACTTAGGTAAACTGTTATCCACTCCTTTCAACTCCTTCCACTCATTCTCCCCAACATCAAACCCTCTAATCTTCCCCAAATAATCATAACAATACAACACTCCATCCACCACAGCGGCCCGCCCCCTCCACCCCAAATCGAGCTCTGTTGACACCAATCCCCACTCCTCCAACCCCGGGTCGAAAATCACCCCACCCCTATCAGCCATTGCATACAATCTTCCATCCACTACAGCACTAGCGTGCATCCACTTCTCCTTCACCTCAATCGGACTCCGAACAGGCTTCCACAACCCGCTAATCGGATCAAAAACCTCAGCCCAGTTCATAGACCTAGCCCAATTATCCACAACACAACCCCCCAACACATAAATCTTCCCATCAATCACCCCAGAAGCAGCAAATTCCCTCCCAACCCTCATTTTAGGACCCATTTCCCATTTATTAGACAAACAATCAAGAACCCATAAATTAGGGGAAGGGATATCATTGATAGACCCACCAATCACATACAAATGGCGACCTAATGAAACAAAAGAAGCCCCAATAGGGTGAGATGGGGAGGGATTAATTGGGATTAGGGTTCTTGGGATGTGATTGATTTGAGTTTTGGGGAAAAATGTAGAAGGGTCTAGAGAGTACCATCTGAAAGAGAAGGATGAATCTTTGGAGTTGAAGATGCGAAGGTTGATGAAGAGGAATGATTGGGTGGTGTTGAGTGCACAGCGAGTAGCGTGGAAGAGAGGAGAACGTAGAATGGACCGCCATGATTTGCTGACAAGAGAGAGGAAAGGGTGGTGGGAACGAGGAACTCGAGCTAAGCATTGCAGTGCGACGTCGTTTGAGAGAGCTGGAATCAGGGGTTGTTCATGGTGTTGGCAATGGTGGGTTTCAGAGGGTGAAGGTTGATCGGCCATGGTTGTCGGAGTTTTGAGAACTCTGGTGAGAGGGACTGAGGGAGAGAGAAGGGAAGTTGGGAATTTGGAGGGTCATTTGGAGTTTTGACTGGCTTTGGCTTTCTCATTTTGGTAAGAGGGTTTGAATTGGATCATTGATTAATTGGATTGCTCCAAGTTTATCTTTCAATTGTGTACGCCACTCACACCACTCTTACAAACTTTTACGGACGAGTTGACGACTAGGTACTAAGGTCTCTAATTTAAAATTGATACAATGCACGGATTGTACTTCGTATAAAGTAAAATTGGGTTAAATTATATATATTTATTTAAATTATTAAAATATGGAGAATACGGAAGAAAATCATTCATTACATAGTATAGATTAGCAATAAAATTTTGTAAACAAAAACAAAAAAGATTAAAGATGAGAGTGATACTTGGTGCTTATGATTTGACTTTTAATATATTAAGTATAGATGTCACCTTAAATCCTAAAATAAAACAAAATCGGAAAGGAAATTATATGTATGCAAGGTTGAGCTTGGGCATGACATAATACAAAGACGTGTATGTCAGAATGTGGATTGTGCTTGTGCCACATTTTTGTTAGAGAAACATGAGAAAGATGTTTTTCAACTTGACCCAACACAACAAAGTAAGCAAAATTTGACTTATGTAGTTATGTACAACTTGATATGGCACGATGATCATGCTGATTAATGATTAAGTCCATGTCTAGATAATCTTGATTGACACGACACATAGTTAGTGGGTTGTTACCTATATATCGGGTTGTGAGATAGTTCTAGCTAACCCTAATACACGCGAAAACGGCACAAATAAGCATTATACCCCAAAGCCATCTTTCGAGATTTGAGAATTTGAGGTAGAAAACATATCAAGAATAATATTCTTTAGAAAAATTATCTACCATAGGCTCGACATTTTCCTTAATAAATGACTTATAGATACGTGGGTGATAAACTTACACCTTTTCAATTTCATCATAATCATTAACAATGAATGAGAATATAACTAAACTACCTGTATTGAACTGGTGGCGCGAAAACAGAACCTTATCTGAAAATCTGAGGGTGTTGGAACTCTACTGTGAAAAGGGATGTCAGCAGTTACAGTAAACGGCGTTGCGGCATTATTTCTCAGCAGCAACCACCTTCATCGCAGCAACAATTATTCTGTTAACCCCAATCAATTCAACTCCATCACCAACAAACGCCGCATAATCATCACATGCTCCTCTTCTACTGCTAATGCTCTTCCTTCTGTTGATTTTAACCCTCTTCAATCCGCTCTTGAAAAGGTTCACCCTTATCTCTCGATCTCCTCATGATTGAATTGGATGGATTTTAGGATTACCCAGTATTTGAATTTGTTGAACAATATCTGGGTAATTTTCTGATTTTTCTGGGTGTTTGTATATTTGTTTAAATTTGTCTAGGTTTATAGTCACGTTATCTTTCTGGGCTTGCAATTCTAGTTTGTTTGGGTACTAAAAGTTGCTTTTTGGGGCTTAGTTTGCCTTGAGCTCATTCTAGTTGTTTAAGTGTGTTAATTGGGTTTTCACACTTGATGAAAATCTATGAAATGTGTTGCATTATCATGGATGTTAGGATGATACTTTTTATGCAAGATTACACTTAAATTTATTCCCATAACTGCCGTTTTATTACCCTTACCAAAAGGACTGCTTTTAAAGAGGCAGTGATGTGTGAAGCTGATTTTTGAAGGATTGTTGTTGTGAATTGGTGATAATATCTGTTGGGAAGTTGCTGAAGGCTGAGAACTTTGAGGCTTTGAGCTCCTAGATATTAGAGAAGGAATGTCATTGGTGTCACCAAGTTCCTGAGTTTCAGGCCATCATGATTTATGAAGCGCGTGGTTTTGTTAGTAAAGGTAGTGAAAATTTAATTGATAATAGCTAAAGCTAATGCATCTAGTTGAACTTTGAAGTAAGAACTTTTGGTGGGTGTTATATAGTATATACAGTGTTATATAGTATATACATCTCAATCCTCGAGTACCTTACAACAATTCCTTTCCAAAGTATGGACTAAATTTGTGTGCACAAGGAACATCCAAATCAAATGTGATTTAACAATTCATTATATTTCTTCCACTCATGACATTCTATGAAGACCTTAGACCCTCTCGTGATGGTAAAGTATTTATGGTGAAGATTTATGCTTGTCAGAATGTGATGCTTAATAATTCCTTTCCAAAGTATGGACTAAATTTGTGTGCACAAGGAACATCCAAATCAAATGTGATTAATCATTTCACAATATTTCTTCAACCCATGACATTCTATGAAGACCTTAGACACTCTTGTAATGGTGAAGTATTTATGTTGAAGATTTTATGCTTGTCAGAATGTGATGCTTAATAATTCTAAACGAAATTTCTGAGGATGTAAGCATTTTTATGGTGCAGAATGATAGTGATGCTGTCAAGGACGCACTTGATCAGTTAAGCGAAGTTGGTTGGGCCAAAAGGTGGAGTTCGCAGCCATATATCTCTCGTCGTACTGTACGTAGCCATTATTAGCATGTACTTGTTAAGTTTTCAGCTTAAGTATTGGCTAATCTAAGAAATGTTGCTTGAAGAAAAGTCAATATTTGCATTTCTAATGTACAGACATCACTTCGGGAGCTGACAACTCTTGGAATCAAGAATGCTGAGAATCTTGCTATACCAAGCGTCAGAAATGATGTAAGTAAACTAGTTCAGTCATAGAGGATTAGCATATATAAGCAGATATTCTTTCACCATTGCCTTGAGGAGGGTATTTTGGGGTTCATCTCCTATCGTAGAGGACTTCAGCATCATGACTTGAGTTTCTTGCTTTCCATTGGCTGGCTCCTGCTCTAAGCTTAAAGTTTATATTTATTGGCACATTGTTATGTATGCACATTATGTTAGATGATTCTGTTATTGAATGAACTCTAGTGATGGGGGATTTGAAATTTTACTCTGGATACTGCATCAACATGATAATTTTCAGTCATGCAGGCAGCTTTTCTAGCTACGGTGGTTGGCACAACAGGATTTTTGGCTGTTCTTGCTGGCCAGCTTCCAGGGGTAAACAGCATCCTCTTATCTCCATTATATACAAGCCAGCTTACTTTCCAGTCAAATGTATTGCAAGACTGAACTGTATGCCAGAATGAATATAAATAACTCCTTCGATGTCAACGTCAGTCTTGTGAGTCACAAGTACCAAGGTTGACTACTTTTTGTAGACAGTATTAGTAAAAATATGAAAATTTTGGTCTAAGGTCTTTTAACGTAATGACACATTCTTGCTGTTCTTTCAACATGGAAGTATGATTCGCAGACTTATGTTAGTTTTTATTTTTTTGTTTTTAAAAGAAAATTACACTTAGCACAACTATTCACAAAGTCAGGCAACTTTGGTATCATAAAATTGCCTGAAAAGGATTTGAACATTATCTGCTTTGCAGAAGAGTAGGAAGAGGGAGGGGGGGGGGGAGAGGGTTATTCTGTCTTAAATTCCACTTTGGCTAGTGTGATATTTTACGGTAATATATTATGGAGATGTCAGTTTGTAAATTTAGGAATTAATCACAAATTATTAAAAATGTGGGCAGCTGTGGCGCTGTGCACATTTCCTTGTGATTGTTTTCTGAAACTGTGGCTCTATGATTGTTTCTGTCTTTTGAGATTTATAACTATGCTTGTATTATAGGACTGGGGCTTCTTCGTGCCATACTTGGTCGGAAGCATCTCTTTAGTGGTTTTGGCTGTGGGTAGCGTTGCACCTGGGTAAGGAACTAAGGACTTGTATACATCTCCATGCAGATATCTCATATTTTTCTTTCCTATCCTCATCTTATTCTTTTCTAGAGGGTGAGACATCTTTTACTCCAGGGAACTGAAAGCACCCTAAATTGACGTACCATAATATCTATCAATGCAGACTTCTCCAGGCAGCCATTGGTGGATTCTCTGTGGTTTTTCCTGATTATCAAGAGCGGATTTCTAGGCATGAAGCGGCTCATTTTCTAGGTAATATGTCAGCAATAGGTTTACTCTTTAGTCAACATATATGTTCATCTTATCATAAACACTCAGCTGATACTATTATCGGATAAATAATGACCAGTAGCCCGACTTGCAACAATATAGGCATACAGCTTTTTGGCAATGAAAGCATGCATAAAGAAATTTTACCCCATTCCCTTTTATTTTTTATTTTTTTATTTTTTTTATTTTTTTTATTTTTTTTTTCTGGGGTGGTGGGGGTGTGGCTGAACTTCAGGAACGTTATACTACGTAGTTATATTGAAATGATATGTCATAGATAAGCTAATCATTTACAATTACCTCACTTATCATTATCAACGATCAGCATCATCTAATATCATGCCCAAAGTCTACTCTCCACTGGCTACCTGTGCTAGTTATTACTCTTTCAAACATGGCTTGACACTGTTACTATTCCTTACAGTTGCATATTTGCTTGGCCTACCAATTTTGAGTTATTCCCTGGATATTGGTAAAGAACATGTGAACCTCGTCAATGACGAGTTGGAGAAGCTTATATACAGTGGACAGCTTGATTCCAAGGAACTTGACAGGTAATACGTTTACTAGGCCTTTATGGTTTATGGTTCAGAAAACACATTTTCTAGAGGCTATTCAGAAATGACATTATATACCCCATAGAAGTCTATCTTCTGCTTTTAACATTTCTATTTTCGCTCCTTTCATGTCTCCAAACATATTTTGTCCAATAGTCAATTGACAATTGTTGAAACACCTGATACACATATATTTGAGATTGAATTATAGAGGCTTTTTGGAGTATGGAGCACTTTCTTGAGAGTAAAGGTTGAGATTGAACTCCTGAATCCACTCTCAGAGATGGGTTAATCTTATATTAAGTTTTTGAGGCATCTGTTGGTAGTTATGGCTAAAAAAATGAGTTTCTTTGTTGCTCCAGGTTGGCTGTTGTGTCAATGGCTGGGCTGGCTGCCGAAGGGCTAACATACGACAAGGTTATTGGTCAATCTGCAGATCTATTCAGTCTACAGGTCTGTAGTAATTTTTCTTTTGCCATTTGTTGCTTGAATTTGGGGCAAAAGGTTTAGTGTTTTTTGTTGTTTCCCGTACACAGAGATTTATAAATAGGAGTACACCACAAATCAGCAAGGACCAGCAACAGAACCTCACTAGATGGGCTGTAAGGATAAGCTCCTCTTTCTCTTCCCTCTCACACGCAGGGCAGGGCCTTATATATTGTGTGCTATGTTTGTTCAGGTTCTGTTTGCAGCATCTCTTTTGAAGAACAATAAAGCGGCTCATGAAGCTCTGATGGCTGAAATGTCAAAGAAAGCAACTGTACTGGATTGCATCAAAGCAATTGAAACGGCCTCATAAATTCAAGAGGCAAAACAGTCCTCACATAATTTTTTTCACAGATTTTTTTGGTACAAAGTTTAAACAGCTCAAGCCTAATATGAAATATAGAGTAATCTATAATTGTAATACTGTATTTTATATTGATGAGAATCTGAGAAAGACTGGATGATTACAAATTACACTTGCTTCAAATTTGCTGATGATAGCCCCTGTATTTTGTAACAGACAAGGTGCAATTTGTGCTCGTCTCTCGTACACATTAGTCTCAAATTCGAATATATTTGGTGTCAAATGATCCCTATATGAGACTGGGCAAACATGTTTTATCTTACAATTGACCCAAATTCCTAAAACGCGAGTCACTCCGGTACTTGCTTTACATTAACTTAGCCAATTACTTTGTTGTTTGATCAGCTAATGAAAGATTGATATTGGATATAACTTATGGAGGATAGAGACTAAAACTAAAAGAAATAAAACGAAGGAAGCATAGTGAAAAATTGATTTATTTTGCATTTACGTGAGATTCAAACAATCTCAATGGAGATACAAATTCTCTTCTAACAATCTGAATATTACTGCAGAAGAGCTTAGGTAATTGCAGTAGTATCTTCAGCATCAACTGATGAAAAACTGCAGAAGTTAGGTAAGATACAAAGCTTTATTACAGTTCACACATCAACATTTACAGCCGGCCATACATTGACAGCAAGTCTCGCAATTTTGTTGCCTCAGCGTCCAAGCTCTCAAAACTCAAAGAAGACGGTATTCTCCAGCTCCAGTTACCAAACTGTATAACATTACATGAATTAGAAGAAAGCACAAAGGTGCATGGAAAAGATAAAAGACAGAACTTTCAGACACAAGTCACACAACAGGTTAAAAATAACGCATGCAAGAATGATGACAAACTATAATATCAGCATGGTGATATAATCACTTCTATATCTAGTCAATGAACTTCTCTTGTTGACAAAGTTCCAGCCGAACTAGTACCATAACTTAATAGTAGTATTATACTGTAATTACTTGCATAATTGCTACAGTGGCCACAAATTACCTGAGTAGCTGGAATATTCATCCTAGCAGAATTATCAAGTCCAAGAACATCTTGCATTGGTATGATTGCAGTTTTAGCTACTGACGATAATGCACCTTGGATGAGTCCCCATGAAATATCATTCCCTTCATTGAGGGAAAGGTAACTTAGCACCTGTATCAATAATAAGACGGAACTAAATCACAGCCAGAAAAAAAATCACACTAGAAAGATACAAAATCAATCCAAAAGTGTTATTCGAATTAACTTCAAGTTGCCTGATTACTCTATAGAAAACTTACATGATGTCTCTCTTCTTGCTTCAAGTTGTCCCACCAGCCCAGAACCTATCAAATATGAACACACACATTGAAAAGGTAACTCAGACCAAGGAAAGTACTAACTGTATTCTATAACCATGATAGTAGCATGCAGATTACAAGAATGGAATGGATCAGCCATGGTGTTGGAAGCCATATGCTTAGATAACAGATTTACCATGAAAAATAGTGAAGCAGGAGCTTTACCGTGTCATTATCATGAGTGCCAGTGTATACTACTTGATTGCGTTCATGATTATGAGGAAGATGAGGGTTTTCTGCATCACTTCCAAAACCTACACCAAGATTTATTGACCAAACATACTCATAAATCATCCAAACCTTTCCATCACATTAAAGAAATAGAAAATTTGAAAAACATATCATGAAGGAGGGAAATAGGGCAGGAGAGGGAGTTTTGATGGCAGACAGAAATCAGAAGGCAAAAAAAGGTGAATACCAAATTGCAGGACAGCCATCCCAGGTGCTCCAATGGATTTCCTCAGCTGAACTACATCCTCTGTGATTACACCCTGTTACAAGAAAATTATAGCATAATTAAGGAAACATAAATAATATAAACAACATTCTTCTACTTTTCTGCCAAAACAATGGAAAACGGACAAGGCATTACTGATATTTCCCAATTGAACATGTCATCATGTTGATATTACTTTCCACCACAAATGCACATTTCGAATACTTGACACTCATAAAAAGCTTCCTTGTGAGAGAATTACCTCACGTCTCAGAACTTCAAACTAAGCAGCAAATTGATTATCATGAGAAAATTTAATAAACAGGCATCCTGATAAGGATAACAAAATACACTACCAATTAAGCCGAGCTTTACTCTTTTTTTCTTTTACCATTTCCTTGGGGGGGGGGAGCTATTGTGATCAAAAGTTGCCACAACCAAATAATCAATAAAATATTAAATGACAGGCATCCTGACAAAGGTTTAACACCCAACATCATCTCTTAAACATCAGGCGTCATTGAAGCAAACAGAGCAACAAATCAAAGGAAATAGGAGGGGAAAAAAAGAACAAAATCTAATGACTTACCAGATCTTCAGCAATAACGGTGTTATTGAAGCAAACAGAGCAACAAATCAAAGGAAATAGGAGGGAAAAAAAAGAACAAAATCTAATGACTTACCAGATCTTCAGCAATAATGTCAATCTCCCCAACAGTCTTAAATATTGCATCAAACAAGGACTTTCCAGGCCCAGCCTACTGTCATCAAACAGCATTAGAAATAAGTGAACAAGTAAGGAACCCACAATTTGAGCTTTACAAAGTAATTTAAACCAGAGAAACTGACCTTCCATCGCCCAACCGTTGCAATTTTTGCTTCTGCAAAGGAATCACGACCGACAGTTATGACACAGGTGGTGGAGAATACTACTGGTAAAAAACATTACAGAACCTGATTACGTACACTACATACCTGATGGAACAGCCCAGAATCCAGCAAAACCTCGAAAATGGTCAATTCTGAACTCATCATACAAATCCATAGCTCGTCGAATTCGACATATCCACCATGAAAACCCATCTTTCTCCGTAGCAGTCCAATCATACAAGGGACTTCAATCAAATTGACGAGCATTAGCTGGTTCACATTGTTAAACAACTGGAAGATACTACAGTAGTCCAAAAAACTATTTTGTAACTTGAATAAGAGGCTCAAATCAATACAAGAAACTACAGAGTACCAGTAATAAGGCAGAATAAACATTTTCAAACTATAAAACAAGATGGGAACTAGAATGCAGTAAAACAAAATTGTACTATCCAGATTACCCACACCATTTTTTTTAGCCTTTTTCCATCAAAGGCCAAGTATGCCTTTCCTCTGTTGGCCATGTTTGGTGGTGAGTGGAGCATGATCATCCAAAAATAAATTTTTATCCATCTCTTCCTCAACTTTCTTGTCCAATAATGCCCACCAAGCCACTATCCTTCTCACAAGGTGGCAGTAGGCAGTGAGAGGCCTGAGATCCCACACCCTTTCCCATAGATCTTACCTTCTCTATCACTCCACTCCGGTCTCTTTCTCCAACCATCAAGGACTTGGGGGTCAGCAGAAATGACAAAAACAGGAGTAACACCTCTTACAGAGTTACAGCCCATTTGTTAGGAGGTAGATGATGATATTAATAATGAAATTACAGCGTCATTTGGTGAGGAGATCCTCATGCCAATGTCTATATCAATGTTTCCACCCCCAAAGCTCTCTCAATCATCAGAAATTCCATTACTATCCTTGGAAAAGTGTGATAATGAAAATTTATGAAGTAAAACACATGCTTGGGAGGTTCAATTCCATGGAACTTATCTTAAAATTACATATACATTACCAATACTTTACTGCCACATAACAAACAGGTCACTGGAACATTGATCCTCATCAATTAATGCATCCATTTACAGATCTATGTATATCCAAAATGAGCTAAAACTGACAGACTTTTAGCCAATTGGCGATGGTACGATGCATAAAGGCGGAAGTATAAGCACCAAATAGTTCTCCCCAAATTCTGACTCTACGATAGGTTGTATACTGCATCAGATCGTTGGTAGCTTGATACACAAAATCCCCACCTCCTCCCCCCCTCCTTTTTTTATTTTTTATTTTTTATTTTTATTTACTTTTGACGTGTCAGAGAACATCGTTACACAGGGCCTTAAGGAAAGACTGATAATATTAATCCTGGATTCACATAAACTCTCTCAATATACCCAGCTTTACCAGACAAAGCCAAGGAATCCATCACCAAATCACCACACCTAAGTTAACCAATAAAAAAAGCACAAAAAATAGAGGAAGTCTGTAAAAATAGACCATCCTCAGCAGCATCCCAAGTTTCGGAGGGAGGGATACATCAGTTTAATTAATAACTTATACAAAATTGTGAAAAATGAATGAATCAAACATGAAGAATTTAAGATCCCGAAATTCTCAGGTGTAGAGTCACCAACCTGTCCCATAACTGACCAGTTTCACTAAATGCATCAGGCGGAACTCCACTGACTAACAGAGGGAAGCCCTTCCTGTTCTGCAGAAAAAACAAATAACAACACCAAATGCTGAAACAAACACTTTGTACAATATGCAGAATCAACATACCATTTAATCAAATTGAAGCTCACCAGCAAAAAGTGTTTTTTGTTAGCCCAAACATCTGCATTGTGATAGCCAACATAGATTGGCATATCCCCCATGATCTTGATGCCCTTCAGCAGTGCATAATTACGAACTTTCTTCCATTGTCTTTGAAACAGAAACTGCTGCGCGATGAATAATTCAATCTGTCCAACTGAAAGTATGAGTACTTTATCAATGAATAATACGTCACATACATTTTAACAAAAGAGTATAACTTGTATCAATCTTACAAAGTGTTTTTCGCTCTCATAGATTTTCACAAGTGCGGAGAGATGGCGATTTTTTAAAGGTTCAGGCCAATCATACCAAGAAAATGTGTTACAAACTCGGTCAATTGCAGTAAAACATGCTGCATCCTCAAGCCAGCCTGTGTAGTAGTGGAAAGGTGAACATTATCAACAGAGATTTCAACAAAATTAGCATTGCACACACTGTATCCAGGATAATGGATGGAGAATATATTTGTTAGCTAATTCACAACTCTATCTCGGAAATGAAAATACAACAGACCCTGATTCAGCCAGTCAGCCTACATATTTTAGAACACAGCAAGAATAAAAAAATAAAATGTGCAAATTTGTGGGCATAACTTACTTGATATATCAGGATCCCTTCGAAAATTTTGAAGCTGCCTTTTGAGTCCCCCTTCACTCATAATAAGTCGCTCTGCAGCCTAGCAAAGAAGGTGCTATTAACCGATATTAATCCAAAGTTGAAACCCAGAATATTTACTCCTCAAAACAGAGTAGAATAACATACGCAACAGCTAAGG